CACGAATTAGAAGAAACACACACACACACACACACACACACACACACACACATCACCAGGTAGAAGAACCCTTGGCCTGGTTCTGGAGGCCAGCTGGTCCACCCACAATGAAAGGCAACTCCTCCCATTTCCCCTCCCTCCCTCTCTCCCTCCCTCCCTTCACCACAACAGTGCCAAGAGCCTCTATGTGTATTCTTGAGATCATCCTGCTGGTGTTGGTGTCACATGATAGTTTGGTCTTTGTTAGTATTTGATAGTGTACGTGATGTTTTGGTGTTCCTCTAGTTACACATCTGGGAGAGTTCCTGCTGCCTCATCTTCTGAGAGACTATCTGTTGTCATGTTGTACTACATGAAACAACTTCTACTACTACAATGATATATTAAAGTATTGTTACCTTATTCAATTCTATGAGAGGACTGCTACATAAGCTTTTACCTCAACTGCTGCTACATATAAGGGTATTGCTGTATTGGTTGTCAGTGTTGTGGTTGACGCTGGGTATGAAAACCGAGTGTGTCGTCCATCCCTCACAATCATAAGGTAAAAATCTTCCTACCTTTCGGAATACTTTCATTGCAGTGATCCCTCTTGTTGTGTAATGTTTGTGAAGAAATAGATGTTGTTAGGAGAAAAAGACAAGTTTCATTATTAGTTGTTTTTGTTGTTGGTTTGTCACCTAGGGTGCGTTTGTTATGAAGACTAGATAAATAAACGAGTCTACATTGTTGATTCCACTACATTTTACCTTCATTCAATATTACAACGCACATGATACACAATATATATAAACGGTATAGACAAAATTATTCTCAAATTTTGGCATCATCTCATCATCGTCATAAAAACTAATCGTCATTATATAGCTTTGAGATTTCAGGCATTACCCTCAACGATAATAATATTGAAGTGTTACCTAGATAAACTTGGTCATTCGTGCTGTCATCTAGCATATTGTACTCATTTCTGAACTAGAGTGGGCACTGAGGACGGTGTAATGTTGGGGAACTACGGGCTGGTGTGTGGTGTTTGGGCACTGTAGGGGGGTGTAGTATTTGGGCACTATATGGGTGTAGCGTTAGGGACACTGTGGGGTGAGTGTGGTACTGGGGCACTGTGGGGTGTGAGTAGTGTTGGGGCACTGTGGGGTGAGTGTGATGTTGAGACACTATGGGGTGAGTGTGGTGTTGGGGCACTATGGGGGATGTGGTGTTGGGACACTGTGGGGTGAGTGGTGTTGGGGCACTTGGGGTGAGTGTGGTGTTGGGGCACTGTGGGGTGAGTGGTGTTGGGGCACTGTGGGGTGAGTGTGGTGTTGGGGCACTATGGGGTGAGTGGTGTTTGGGCACTGTGGGGTGAGTGTGGTGTTGGGGCACTGTGGGTTAAGTGTAGTGCTGGGGCATTGTGGGCTGAGTGTGGTGTTGGGGCACTGTGGGGTGAGTGGTGTTGGGGCACTGTGGGGTGAGTGTGATGTTGGGGCACTATGGGGTGAGTGGTGTTGGGGCACTGTGGGGTGAGTGTGGTGTTGGGGCACTGTGGGGTGAGTGTGGTGTTGGGACACTGTGGAGTGAGTGTAGTATTGAGGCACTTCGTCTTCTCGACTCGGTAAAGAAAAGGGCATCAAAACAATCGACATTAACGACCTTACAGAAACGTTCCAGCATTGTGCATTCGATACTTCCACAGTCGTATTCAGACAAGCTGCACTCAATAGCCACACCATCACATACCCTCCATGGGTCCATAAGGGCATCTGTGAGGTCCATGGATACCCCGGACTAGTACTCTGTGAATTTCCTTTCAACAGAGTGTTTTTCGTCTTACTATAACGTCCTTCAGTACATAGCATCCTGCTTCAAATATCTTTAGTCTCTAGCAAAGGAACGCCAAGGTGAATAGATTTGACGACTCCAGTCTGATTTCTCTCTTTGTGTTGTATTATCGAAGAAATAATTCCATACTTTGCTCACTTTATTCTGGCCCTTATTAGCCTGTACTTGACCTTAACTCGAACTTGTATCTAGTTCTCTTTTTCTAAATTGAAAAATCATAAATTGTAAATGTATATAGGGTGCAAGTTCGTGTTTTAATAAATTGTTGTGACTGAAGAACTGAGGTCAAGAAAAACATATACAGGTACACGATATCGGTAGGTTTATTTCTTGTTGAGGAACAGTTAAGAACAGGTATGCAACTAGTCTGTTTCTTGTCTTGTCTTAAAAGGATTTAGAAACAATGCTGATACTACTGCTATGGAGTGCTATTACTTTGTACATTAACCATCAACATGAAGATTAGATTGGTAAGGACAGTCCGGCACCCACCAGTAATCTGGCACCACCAATAACCCAGTCTTTCACTAAACACGAATACCTATTTTGGTGTCCTCTGATCTATTGGGATTATTGTGAGTACTGTAAATAAATGAGCAAATAAGTAAAGAGATAGGTAAGAAAATAGAAAATCAGTACATAGACAAGTAAACATATATACTGTATAAGTAAATATATATTTTAAATAATAAATAAATAAGCAGATATATAAGTTAATTGATAATTACATAGTTAAATGGACAAAGAAACACATATCAACACACACACACTCCACCTCCGTAACAAAACAAATACCCACATTTCGGAATCGCTACATCTTGGTACACAGTGGTGGAGGTACTGGGCAAGTGTCACCATGGAAACTGGCAGAAGGAGGGGTAGCGGTGGGCGGAGGTTGGCGTGCCAAGTCGCTTGTTTTTTACGATTGATCATCTTGGGCGCTGATCAGGATAAGTAAAGTGTTGCATCTGTTGTAATCAAGATGTTGCATCTGTTGTTACTTATGATGTTGCAACTGTTGATCAGTATGTTGCATCTGTTGATACTTTGATGTTGCAACTGTTGATCAGTATGTTGCATCTGTTGTTACTTATGATATTGTCACTGTTGATCAGTATGTTGCATCTTTTGTTACTTATGATGTTGTCACTATTGATCAGTATGTTGCATCTGTTATTACTTATGTTGATGCACCTGTTGATCAGTATGTTGCATCTGTTGTTACTTATGATGTTGCAACTGTTGATCAGTATATTGCATCTGTTGTTACTTATGATATTGTCACTGTTGATCAGTATGTTGCATCTGTTGTTACTTATGATGTTGCAACTGTTGATCAGTATGTTGCACCTGTTGTTACTTATGATGTTGTCACTGTTGATCAGTATGTTGCATCTGTTGTTGCTTATGATGTTGCAACTGTTGATCAGTATGTTGCATCTGTTGCTGATAAGAATATTGCACCTTTGATCAGCATGTTGTACCTGTTGATCAGCATGTTGTACCTGTTGATCAGCATGTTACGCCTGTTGCACTTGTTAATTAGCATGTTGCACCTGTTTGAACAGCATATTGCACTTCTTTGAACAGTTTTTTGCTCCTATGTGATCAGCATGTTACTCCTCCTTGATCAACATGTTGCACCTGTTGATCAGCATGATACCTGTGATTAGCATATTGCACCTCTTTGATCAACATATTGCGCCTGTTGATCAGCATGTTTACCCTCTCATCAGCATATTGCACCTTTTTGATCAACATATTGTGCCTGTTGATCAGCATGTTTACCTATTTGCGCAACAGGTGTAACATCTTGATCAACAAGTACAACATATTGATCAACAGGTGTAAATCTTGATCAACAGGTACAACATGTTGATGAACAGGTGCAACATGTTGATCAACATGTTACTGTTCATCAGCATATTGCACCCTTTTAGGAGCATGTTTCACCTGTTGATCAGCATGTTACACTTGATTGATCAACATGTTGCTGTTAATCAGCATATTGCACCTCTTTGATCAGCATATTGCACCTGTTGATCAGCATGTTGTACTTGTTGATCAACATGTTGCACTTGTTGATTCTCATGTTGCTCTTCTGTGATCAACATGTTGCACTTGTTGATCAACATGTTACACATGTCGATCAGCATGTTGCACCTGTTGATCAACATGTTGTACCTGTTGATCAAGATGTTGCACCTGTTGATCAACATGTTGTACTTGTTGATCAACATGTTACACCTGCTGATCAACATGTTGCACTTGTTAATTAACATGTTGCACTTGTTGATCAACATGTTACATCTGTTGATCAACATGTTGTACCTGTTGATCAGTATGTCGTACCTGTTGATCAGTATGTTGCTCCTTTTAGCCAGCATGTTGTACCTGTTGATCAGGATTTTTCATTTATTGTTGAAAAAGAGAAAGAGAGAGAAAAGGGAAATGGAAGAAGGGAAATATGTCCCTTGATCTCTTGATATGAACTCCTGACCCTCTGAAATTAACCCCGAACCCTGATGTGAACTCCTGAACCCTTGATATAAACCCCTGAACTACTGATATGACCCTGAACCCCTAATATGAACCCTTAACCATTGTCACAAATCCATGAACCCCTGTCATGACTCCATTAACCCCTAACATGAACCTTTACACTTAACTCTTAATATTAACACCCGAACCTCTGATATGACTGCTGATATGAAAATATGAACCCCTGATATGTACCTATTAACCTCTGATATAAACCCAAAACCTTTGACATGCCCCCTGAACCCCTTATGAACTCCTAAACCCCATATATGACCCTTTAACCCCTTTAACATCTGAACCGTTGATATGATCCCTGAACCCTGATTATCCCATGAAGTCATCAAATGAGATCAAATTAATTACCAATCCGTCTAAACTCCTGGGAGGTAAGGAAGGAACGAAGAGGTGGGGAGTAGGGATAGAGAGGAGAAGGAGGAGAACAGAGGGGGAAGAAGGGGAAGGGGGTGAAAAGGGGAGAGGAGGAAAAAGAACCAACGTGCCAAAATGTCAACAACAACATCCGTTCCTTGTTCACACGAACCACTGACCATGTACCAAGGACCACGAACCACGGACCACGTATCATGAACCACGGACAATGAACTACGGACTACGAACCACGCACCATGGCCCACGGACAAAACTCAGATAATCTTAAGGGAACCTTACTAATAACTGAAGGAACTATATACAAATTGATCTCGGAAAAGCAGGAGCCACACAGAAGCTACTTGAGCACCTTCTTGATGTATGAGTTGATAACCTGTAATGAACAAGACTGGTAGGCACTGGTTACGGCAAGAGGTTGTCCTTACTGTGTGTGTGTGTGTGTGTGTGTGTGTTTTGAGACTTGTTTTTGGTGTGTGTTTGTGTACGTGTATGACTGTTTGTGTGTGTGTGTGTGTGTGTGTGTGTGTGTGTGTGTGTGTGTGTGTGTGTGTGTGTGTGTGTGGACAGGTTAGTGTAAAAGGCAGATATTGGCCCAGTTTTTGCCAGGATCTGCCCGCCCCAGCCTCATGACAACTGCCGTACACAGGTACCGACACCCGGACACAACCTCATCTGTAATCAACGAAACTCCACTGAGTATAATGATCTGTCGACTCTCTTTACCTTTCCAAAATGTACCACCTTTGTTGATCTTTCTTAAAGTTCCATCTATCTTCACGAGACAGGTATATGACCCATCTAGATCTGTCAAGGTCATATACCCAATATTGATGAAGTGTTTTTACCTGCAAACCCTTGATATCTCATTTACCTGCGGGGTCCGCAAAAGTTCAAGATCACTGGGTTGAAAAGTCATGGGGTTTTTCGTTAAATCTATTGACTTCAGAGTATCAATGTAGGTCTGTTCCTTGATTACAGAAGATTCTTAATGTGTAAAAGAAGTGTCGGGTTACAGTCTTTGTGGCTAAAACAGCCACAATAACCACGATACCCACGACAGTTACGACAACCACAACTACCACAACAGCAACGACAACCCACGACAACCCAACAACCACAAACCCATTACAACCAGGACATCCAAAACACCTACTACAACGACAACACAATGACACCCACGGCAACCACAACAGCCACGACAGTCACGACAACCACAAGAACCATGACAACCACAACAACCATGACAACCACAACAACCAAAGCAATCACGACACCCACCACAGCAACACCAATTACGACAGCCACGAAAGCCACGACAGCGACAACAACCACAATAGCAATGACATCCAAAACAACCGACAACCACGACAACCACGACAGCCACGGCAGCTACAGCAACCATGAAGCCACGATAATCACAACGACCACGACACTAACAATAGTCGCATCAACCACGACAACTTCACGACAGCCACGACAGGCACAACCATAACAACCACGACACCATAACAACCACGACAAAACCACCGACACCGAAGACATCCATGACAGCAACGATAATAACCACAATCACGACACCCACGACACCGACTACAACCACGGCAACCGACAACCACGGCAATCACGACACCAGAACTCCTACGACACCCATAACAACCACGACAGCCGCGACACTCTTGACAACCACAAGAACAGCGACACCAAAATAATCAAAACAACTACGACACCCACGATAGCCACGATAACCACAACAACCACTACAGCCACGACAGTATCGACATCCCCGACAGTCACGACACTCATGACAACCACGACAAACACGACAACCAAAGCAAAACGATGCCCACGATATCCACGATAGCCGACAACCACATGAACCATGACACCCACGACAACCACAACAGCCACGACACCCACGACAACCACAACAACCACGACACCCGAGACAATGACAATGACCATGACATAGACGAGAGTCAAGACAACCACAGCAACCACAGCGAACACCACAGCCAAATACAATAAAATCAACCACGACACTTACTACAACCACGACATCTACGACGACCACGACACCCATGGAGCCAATGCAACCATAATAACCAAAACATCCACGCCAATCACGACAACCATGACATCCACGTCAACTACGACAGTCACTAGAACCACAACATTCACAACAGCCATGACAACCACAACAACCACGACACCCGCGACAACCACAAAAACCACTACAATCATGATAACCACAACAACCATGACAACCACAACAACCACGACACCCGACAACCACGACATTCACGACAATCATAATGAACGGCAAACACGACAACAACCACAACAACTACGACAGCCACCACAGACAATATAATCACAACAACCACGACATACACTTCAACCACGACATCCACGACAACAACAATAACCACGACACCAACGATTGCCAATACAACCACAATAACCACAACACCCGACAACCACAACAGCCACAATAACCACAAAACACGAAAACACACTACAGACATGATTACCAGCACAACCACGACACCCACTACAACCATGACATCCCGACTGCCACGACAACTACGACGCCCATAAATGCCACAATTAATAACAACGACTACAAAACCACGACACCGAAGACATCTATGGCCAGCAACGATAATAACCACAATCACGACACCCACGACACCGACTACAACCACGGCAACACGACAGCATAACTCCTACGACAACCACAAAACCACGACACCACGACATCCATAATAACCACAACAACTACAACACCAACGACAACCACGACACCCAAAATAACTACGATAACCACAGCAACCATGACACGATTACCACAACGACCACGACACTCACGATGGTCACGACAACCACAAAACCACGTTACCCATGACAACGAAAATAACCACGACACCCACGACAGCCACAACAACCACAAAAAACGAAAGACACACTACAACTATGACTACTACAACAGCCACGACAACTACGACTCCCACGAATGCCATATCAACCCGACACCCACGACAACTACGACATCACAACAACCACGCCCACGACAGCCACGACAACACCACCAAGCACGATACCACAACACCCACGTCAATCACAGCACCTTCGAAACTACGACACCTGGGACAACAACAGCAACCACGACACCCACGTCACCCATAATAACCGACAGCCACGACCGCCACAACAACCACATCAACCACGATACCCACGACAGCCACGACATCCACAACAACCACAACAGCCACGACAGCCACAAAACCACAACACCTACAATAACCCTATAACCGCACTAACTACGACACCCACGACAGCCACGACAGATTTAGGCGCGAAATAGGTAAAGCTGGTTCGAAATAGAGTTGGTGGATGAGTGGAACAAGTTACCAAACATCACCATTAACCCGAATAGGCTGGATAGCATCAAACATAGGTTGGATAGATATACGAGCAATAGGGTTGGGTGTAAACAGGACTGCCCAGTATGGGCAATGGAGCCCCGCTGCAGGTTCCTCCATTCTTATGTTCTTAACCACGACACTAACGATAACCGCAACGATTACCACACTCACGACGGCCAGTCAACCACAACAACTACGACACCTACATTCACGACAGACAAAATACATAAAACCACGATACCCTACAACCACGGCCACGACATCCATAACAATCACAACAGCCACAACACCAACGACACCCGACAACCACAAGAACCGCGAAACCCAGGACAATGTAAACAACAACGACACCACGATAGCACGACAACCACAACAACAACAGCCACATCAGTGTCGACACCCTCAGAGTCACGACACCTATGACAACCACAACAGCCGACAACCAAAACAACCACGATACCCAGGTAGCTACGCCAACCACAATAAGCACAACAGCTACGACAATTTACGATAACCACAACACCCACGACACCGACTACATAAGAACATTAAAAATAAAGAGTCTGCAATACGCCGGTTGGCCTGTGCGGCAGCTCCTGTCGAGAGTTACTACCACTTTCTATTATCCATGAATCTATATAGCCTCCTTTTAAAACTTTCCAGCTTTCCAGCACTTACTACAATGTTGCTAAGCTTGTTCCTCGTCCACCACCCTATTTGTGAACAGTTCCTTCCTATCTCCCTCCTAAATCTAAACTTATCCAACTTAAATCCGGTGCTCCGGTCCTATCCTGCTCTGATATTATAAGAACTTTATCTATATCTCCTTTATTGATTACTTTCACCCACTTAAATACTTCTATCATATCTCCCCGCACTCTTCGTCTTTCTAGGGAATGCAAGTTTAGTTTCGTTAACCTATCTTGATATGGAAGTTTTCTAAGTCCCGTAATCATTTTCGTCATTCTTCGCTGCACCGACTCCAGTGAATTGATATCCATTCTATAATAAGGGCACCAGAACTGAACCGCATAATCGAGGTGCGGCCTGACTAGCGCAATATATAGTTGCAATAAGGCCTCTGCACTCTTATTACTTACACTTCTAGATATAAAACCTAATACTCTGTTTGCCTTATTTCGAACATTAACGCACTGTTTTCTCACCGTAGGTCCGGGCTTACAAATTCCCCTAAGTCTCTTTCACAAGTCGACTTCTCTAGGTTGATGTTGTTAGGCTGTATACATTGACAGTATTTGTTCTTCCAATAATAAGTACGCTGCACTTGCTGGTGTTGAATTTCATTGCCATTTTTCTGACCACTCCTGCAGTTTATTTAAATCTTCCTGTATTGCATTTGCATCCTGCCCTGAATTAATCTGCCGCCCTATTTTGGTGTCATCCTCAAACTTGCTTATGTCACTGCTGATCCCAGTATCTAGATCGTTTATGTAGATTATGAACACGAGTGGGCCCAGTACTGACCTGGAACCCCACTGGTTACACAGCCCCGCTCAGATTTCTACGCTGACCCTCTGTGTTCTATCGGTGAGCCATGATTTTATGCAATTTAAACTTTCTCCTCGATACCATGGGCCTTAACTTTTCTCAGAAGCCTCCGATGCGGTACTCTGTCAAACGCTTTGTTAAAGTCTTAGTAAATAACATCGTAATTTTCGTCATTATCAACTACCTCAGACTTTCCTTAGAAACGTCAGCAGATTTGTAAGACAAGATTTTTCCTTTGTAAACCCATGTTGAGAGTCGTAGATTAATTTGCTTTTTCTCTAAATGCGATCGGATGCTATTTGCTATAATTAATTTAAAATTTCCACTACTGACGTCAAACTAATCGGCCTGTAATTTGACGCTCGTGCTCTGTCTCCCTTTTTGAATATGGGTACTACATTTGCCTGTTTCCAAATCTGGCACAACTCCTGTGTCTACTGATTTTGTAAATAAATTTACAGGGGTCCGCTAATCTATTCTTTACACTCATTCAAAACTCGAGGAAAATTTCATCCGGCCTGGGGATTTTGTCTTCTTTAAGAACGTCCTCTTTTCTGATAGTGATATGCTTTAATTTCTCTTCTTCATTTCCCTAAATATCAGTTTCACCTCTTGAATTTCCTCGTGAATTTCTTCTATGAAAATTGATAAGAGTAGCTGTTCAATGCTTTGCTTATTTTCTCTCTGACTTTAAGGCCCCCACTTTGTCCTTGACCTTTGTCCTATACCTTGAAAATCCCTTGGGATTCACCTTGGATTCTCTTGCTGTCCTGATTTCATAGTCCCCCTTTGCCTTCCTTACATTTTTCTTAACATTCCTAGATAGTTCATTATACCTATTTCTGAGCTGCTCCTCCTCCCTTTAAATTTCTTATAAATTCCTTTTTTATTCCTATGTCATGTTTAAGTTTTCTGGTCATCCACCTTGGCTCATTCTTATTTGACCTAATTTTTCTGTATGGTATATTTTGTTCATGTGCTTTACGTAGTATATGAGTGAATATAAACCTAAGATCATAAGAACATAAGAAAATAGAGTCTGCAATAGGCCGGTTGGCCTGCGCATAGCAGTCCTGTCGAGAGTTACTACCACTCTATCATCCATGAATCTATCTAGCCTCCTTTTGAAACTTTCCAGGATCGCACTTACTACAAAGTTGCTAAGCTTGTTCCACTCGTCCACCACCCTATTTGTGAACCAGTTTCTTCCTATCTCCCTCCTAAACCTAAACTTATCCAACTTGAATCCTTTGCTCCGAGTCCTATCCTGCACGGATATTATAAGAACTTTATTGATTCCTTTCACCCATAAATACTTCTATCATATCTCTCCACTCTTCGTCTTTCTAGGGAATGCAAGTTAAGTTTCTTTAACCTATCCTGATATGGAAGGTTTTAAGTCCCGGAATTATTTTGTCATTCTTCGCTGCACCGTCTATAGTGAATTTATATCCATTCTATAATAGGGCACCAGGAACTGAACCTCATAATCGAGGTGCGGCCTGACTAGCGCAAGATATATGCTGCAATAAGACCTCTGCACTCTTGTTACTTACACTTCTAGATATATAACCCAATACTCTGTTTGCCTTATTTCGAACATTAACGCACTGTTTTCTAGGCCGTAGGTCCAGGCTTAAGTACCCCTAGGTCTCCAAGTCATGATCAATTGTTGTGTCACATTTGACCACCCGTTCCTACTGGGAACTGACCTAACTGTTCGAGGCGACCTCACCTAGGTACCTTCTTAACCCCTGATAATCCGCCAATCGAAAGTTTGGGACTCTGACCATATTGTCATTGTTTTCGTGTCCCAATTTAGGGTGAACCTGATTTCTCTGTGATCACTGTTCCTAGTTCTTCCCCTGCTGTGATATCTCTGATAATATTTTCTTTATTTGTTAATACTAGGTCTAATATATTGTCACCTCTAGTAGGTTCTGTAATTAGTTGTTTGAAAAAATTGTCCTGTACTGCGTCTCGGAAGTTGTTATCGCCGCACAAATTGTGCGCGCCGGCCACATGTTAAGTGAAGAAACTGTTTTACAACTCAGGAATAGCTTACTAAGCGAGATGGAGCTGGTAGCAGCT